GCAAGGGGCCCCCGGGCGGCCCCCCCCCCCCCCCCAGGCTGGGCTCCTCCACGGGGGGGGGGGAAGAGCCCGTGTCGAAAGGCAGGCCAAAGGCAGCCCCGAGAACGGAGGGGGTCCCTCCCGGCCCTGCCGCTTAAAAGCTTTTCCTTGTCAGCCAGCGAGCGAGCGAGCGCGCAATCGAGCGATCCGGGACGCAATGTTCAGGAGCAAGCGGGTTTCTCTATGGGAGCTGGGAAGTCTCCGCAGGGTATTTCCAAGCTGTTTTACAGCTCATAAATCTAGGGTTGGAGAATCACCAGGTCCCTCCCCTCCTTGGACTACAGCTCCCATTGTCCCCAATCACTGGCCATGATGGTTGAGGCCTTGTCTCAGGGAGGACTTCCCTCAACTGGCGTCACTCCCAAGGGACTGGATCACAGCTCTTATCGTCCCCGGCCTGAATGTCTGAGGATGATGGGAGCTGTAGTCCAACGCCCTGGGGACCCAGAAGTTAAGAGACACCAACTAGAAGCCACGACTGAATGACGGCCATTCTCTTTCTTCTCTGCGTATGGCCTACCTCGCAGGGAGAAACCACCATGGACGGACCACTGGGGGTCGGGGGGGGAGGGAGGAAAATGGGCCCCAAAGGACCAGCGTGAGGAAAGGCAGGGCGGGCGAGGGGAGGTAGGGACAGCCCGGCTTTGGTGCCCGTACGGGGGGGGGCCTCCATCCCAGCCCTCTGTCTCCCTCCATTTATCCAATGAAGGCCTGATTAAACCCTCGGGCGCCCGGCTCCAATCTCTCCCTCTCTCTCTCCCCTCGCTATTAAACTCAGGGTTCAAAGAAAAGCTTTTTATTCACACCGACAGCTTTCAGATGGAACTAAATCTCCCTGCGCTCGACTCTCTCCCCCCCCCCTCCACAATCCTCTCTTTCCTTCTCGCTGCTTCTCGGTGGAAGCTGGTTCTCATGTTTCGGCATGCGGACATGGAGGGGGGGAGAGCGCTGTGTGCACGTGTGGACACACACACACACAGAGGGGGGGGAGACACACAAACGACACACGGTCCATACGGGAAGGAGAAACGCACAACCCCCTCCAGGCTTCCTGGATTTTGGAAGAAAAGTGGGGTGGGGGGGGAGAGAGAGAGGATTCCCGGGGAGGAGAAGAGGAGGTGCCTTTGGGTGGGGATGTTCCCCCCCCGAGATACCTCCTGCCCCTTCTTGGAGACATTTGGGAGGATTCAACCGGTGGTGGTGGGGGGGAGTGAGCAGGAAAGGGCCCCTCTTGGCCGGGAGCGCCAGCCACGGAGAAGGCCCTCCTCCCGCCTGGTGGCCCCTTGCGTGGCTGGCTCTGGTCCACAGCCCGGCTGCGGCGTTTGGGCTCTGGGCAAAGTTCCAGAACCCCCCGGCAAAGGCAGGTCCCCCTGGACCCCCCCCCCCCCCCGGGCCCCCGCCCCCGAAGCAAACTGTCCAAGATTTATAGCTAATAAGAGAGAGAGTTTTATGACTGGAAGCTTAGTTAAGCATGAATGACCACACTTATCTTTATATTACGCCTCCACAAAGGCTGCTTTACCTCACTAAGAAAAGGAGGGGTAAACAAGCAGCTTAAAATCGAAGATCTCTTAAGAAAATAAAAGAACTCCAGACGGCAAGGGACAGGAGAGTTTAATTTTAAGGGAAGAAAGAACTTTGGAAGTTGCAGCAGTGAACTGAAATGTCTGCAAACGTCTGTGGGGGAATCAAAGGGGGGCTGGTTTAAACAGACTTTTAAAGTTTTGTAAGCCCTGACCATCAACTCCCACGAAGTGTGATTGCTTTAAACAGCTGAGCTGTGAACAATAAAGAATCACATCGAGACAGTTTAATGGCTTGTTAGTATGTGAGTGTCATCTGGAGATCATCAAAATAAAAAGAGGAGGGGAGAAGCCTGCTGATAAGGAAAAGGAGAAAGGAATCCATTTTTATTACCGGAGGCAGTGACAGCAGCAAGTTTGCCATCGGGGATTTTCACTCAAGAGATATACAGAAAGACACATTTGGATTATAATGAAAGATGTTAAAATGGTTTTTGATGGTTTCCATCACCCATTTTAACATGAAGAGCTGTTTTTTTTCTATCTAGGTACTGTGCTATGCCTGGTTGGTAAAAATACTATAGATCAGGAACTAAGACTGTTTGACTATGATGAGGCCCTCTTGTGGTTGGCTAGAACTTTTCTCCATTCCCTTTTGTATTCTTTTCTCTTCTGTAAGTAGGCTGAAATTTCCTGGACATTTGTGTTCTACTCTGTTGACAGACTAAAACCGAAGCAACTCTGCCGCAGCCACGTCAGGAGGGCCCTTGTGCCCGCCGGGCAGCGCAGCCCTGAAATCCTCACGGCTCCCAGACCGGCTGTGCTTTGCAGGCCGGGGGAAAAAAGGCTGAAAAAGGCAAAGCTTTCCTTTGGCGCCAAGTTATTATAAGCCTACACACACACACACACACACGTACACACAAACACACATGTAATTATCCCAGCATTCAAAACCCAAAACAAAACAAACAGGGAGGAAAAAATTAGAGCGAGCTGGAAGGGAGGGAGGGAGGGAAGGCGGGCGGGGGGGGGGGGGAAAGAGACTCGGGAGGAAAATGAGAAATGACACCGGG